CCTCCTCCTCCTCCTCCTCCTCCTCCTCCTCCTCCTCCTTCTTCTTTTTAAAATCCATTTCCGATCAGGCACTGGTAAGTCTGTTCTTTTTCCCGTGGCTGAGAACATCATATGTTTTTCCTGCTTTGCCACTGTTAAGTTCTAAGGGTGCATTTTGCTTCCTTCCATAGCCCTTAATTTTCTGAGCTATTTTAACTTATTCAGAATCTGCTGACAGTGATGGTGCATCTGAACCACACACAGTATGGCAATAAGCTGTAACTCCAGTGAAACAAAACGAAAGTTGGGTAGAGGTAGTCTTCAACCAAGCCTTGAAGACTAAGATGGGCTTCAGAGTTTCAGGGGTCACGGAGTGATGGAGTACGACAGGAAATTTCTGACCATGAGACAAGAATGGGGCAAAGCACATCTCCACAGACCAATAAATGGATGAGTGGTTTTCAGATTACATTTATTTCTGTGGAAATAAAGAGGACAGCCCTGGGTATCTGCCCTTACCTTCCACTTTGCTTAAGACAGTGTCTCTAGTGGAGGGAGGGGGAACTGTGGTTGGGGTGTATTGTTCGAGAGAAGAATCTGCTGATTTCAAGAATCTGTATTCTTTGTCACTGTGCACTCCAAACTGGCTTGCATGTGAGCTTCAGGGACTCTCCTGTCTCTGCCTCCCATTTTGTTATAGGAGCGCTAGGCTACCTTGCCTAGCTAACCATGGGCTCTGGGAATTCAAGCTCAGACACTGGTGTGCATGTGGCAAACCCTTTACCCACCGAGCCAGCTCTCCAGCTCCACTTTCTTTTTTTAATCATTGCTTTTAAAAGAGACGGTTGAAGTAATCCAAGGTGGCATTCACGGCTTTGGTCAATGGAAATTGTTTTAGCTGTGATGGTATGATTCCATCAGAGCCATTTCACATGTCCTTGCTATGTTATACCTCAGAGCATACTTCAGAGGCCAAATGCCGTGCTAATGTGAGGCTTGTCTGTGTTCCTGTTTAGATCAAGTTCGACAGCGTGGAGGTGTGTGTCTGCTGTGAGCTGCAGCACCACTCATCCGGATGCAGCAACCTGGGGGAGACGCTGAAGCTGAACCCACTGCAGGAAAACTGCAATGCTGTGAGGCTGACCTTGAAGGTGAGGCTGGGCACTGCCTGTGCATGCATCTCTTCCCTCGCCCGGAGACACTAAGGGAGATTTATTAGCATATAGATTCCTTTCAGCTCATGGTTCATCCAGGTGGGTGGCTGTGGAGGGACCATCCTTCTGGAAAGAGAATTTTAAAGGGTTGTAGATTGTCCTTTGGAGGCTCGGCTTTCTCCGTCCTGTTTCCATCCTTGCTGTGTCATTTTCCTGCCTCTGACAGACGCAAAGTAGGATAAGAATGGCTGCAAGAGTTCTTTGAAGATGAGGTCATCACTGTGATTTCTCCCATTGTCCCCACAGGCTCTGCTGCCACTCCATCAAGGGCCACCATGGTTATTCATTTTTCTTTTAAAAAGATATTTTGGGCAGGTGAGATGGCTCAGTGAGTTAAGATCCTTGCCACCAAGCTAATGATCTGAGTTAGACCCCAGGGCCCACATGGAGGAAGGAGAGAACTGACTCCGGAAAATTGTCTTTTCTCCTCAGTGGCGTGCTCATGCACATCCACATATAAACAATAACAAAAAAAAAACAATAGATAAATGCAATTAAAAGACATTTAAAGAAAGAAATCTTACACTCTCCCATGATAATCTGTTTTCATGTGATGATCTGATCTTTTATAAAGGGGGTGTAGGGGCCAGGCACAGCGATGCTCTTTTAATCCCAACACTCTGGAGGCAGAGGCAGGTGGATCTCTGTGAGGTCAAGGCCAGCCTGGTCTACATAAAGAGTTCCAGGCCAGCCAGATCCACACAGTGAGGAGGGCACATGGAAATGCTATCTATGTTTCTCTTCCCTGTCTTCCTTCTTACAAGGGTTATTTTACTGAGAACCCAAACTGGCTGCTTAGAGACACACAATCCAGTTCTTTTCTTGTCCCTGAACAAAAAGTGGCTGAAATGTTTAGAAAGCTGTGCTGTCATCAGAGGACCTCTTGGTTGGTGGTGACACTGTTTACATTGGAGAGCTCTGGCCTGTGGCAGGAAACAGGGTTTATAAGGACCACCAGCTTCAAAGACAGCTGCTTCCAACCTGGGGAGAGAAAGGAAGGTGGCCACATGGGGTAGTTTCCCCAACTCCTGCTCTATCCAAATGGAGAAATGGGCTAAGTTCAGGGTCCTGGTTCCCACCAATGTCACAGCCACAGTGAGAAGGGAGGAAGCCAGAACTGCAGGTCCACAGGGATGCTTTCCTGGTGCCAACCATCTCTTGTGGTCCTATATTACGTACCTTTGCAGTCCATGCCATCTCACAGGGGTCTGCTCAGGAGCAGTGCCCAATGCCTGCACAGCCATTCATAGCCCACTGCAACGGGGAGTGGGAGGGACTCTGCTTACTCTAAGATCTCATTCTGACATCTTCTAGGTTACCCGTGAGCCCAGGTGTGCTTTCTTTCCACATTTAAAGAACATAATCAGGCCACCTGGAGCAACACCTCCTGGAAAAGCCAGCAAGTCCCCTGGGAATCTCAGGCTCTGAGGACCACTTGTGTGTGTCTGTCAACTTTATGGCACTATAAAAATTATCCAAGTAATCTACTCGGAAGAGAAAACGTTTAGTTTGTTGTTTAGTTTTAGAGTTTCAAGTGTGTGACCAAATAATGCTGTCTTCTCTGGGCCATGGTGAGCCGCACATCATGGCAGGAGTGTGTGGTGGGACAGGACCCTTAGCTCACCACAGGCAAGGGGGTAGAAGCAAAGAGGGTAACCCACCAGTGACCTGAAGACTCCTAAAGTCTTGCCTCCTAAATCCCCAACTTTTTAAATATTTATTTAATTTTATTTATATGTACAAATATAAAATTGCCTGCATGTGCCTGGTGACCACAGAAGCCAGAACAGGGTGGAATTATAGATGGTTATGAACTGCTGTGTGGGTCCTAGGGATTGAACTCCTCTCTATAAGAGCAGCAAGTGCTCTTAACTGCTAAGCCGTCTCTCTAGTCCCAAGAGTCCAGCTTTTAACAGTGGACCTTTGGCAGAACATTTAGCCAAACCATCCTGCTATTTCTTTAAGCTAATGGCTTGGATATATAGAGTTTTTGGTCTGTTGCCCCAAAGCCCTGGGCCTCTCTTTGGAATCTTTATTCAGTGGGACTCAGGGCCCTCTTACATGAGCCCTCTAAGGAGATGTGAATTGAAGTTTGGGAGGGATGCCTTTCCTGAAGGTGGGAGCTCACACCTGGGGTGTTCTGGCCTGTGCAGTCCCATCCCTGTGTACTGTACTAGCACCTTGATGAGAAAAGGCAATGGGGAATTTGTTTATGGATTTAGCTAAATGGAATGAAGTTCAGGAATTCAAGCCAGGACTGGCTAGCCTAGCTGATTGTTCGAGCCTTGTCAATGGCTCTTCCTCATGTAGATGTGGATACCCTGGACACTGGCAAGAGATGAAGCAACAGAAAGTTATCTCCCAAACTTCTTATCCATCATTTTTGCAATATACTTTCAAAGCAGAAGCTATCAGAGCTGATGGGAGGAGGCTCAAAGGAGACAGAGTTGGTAGCCAAGGTAGACAGGGGATGATCCAGCCATAGCAGTGCCTGGAATTAGGTAGGAGAAGGGGAACTTTGCCTCTGTCCCCAAATGGAGATCTCTACAGGGAATAGTGGTGCTGGTATGACAACTCGCTTTTGCCTGAGAGCAGCAAGATGGAGACTACTGGATGTGAGTGTCTGTCTGTGGCTTATTGCTGTCTTCCAGTTTTGTTATTTTTCCAAACTTGCTTCCATTATTCTAGGTTCTTAGCATTTCCATATACATTTTAGAATGAGCTTGTCAGTTTCTATGGCAGTCCTGCTGAGATTTTGATTAAGATTGTATGGAACCCACATTATTGCTTTGAAAATGTCTATTTAGGTCTTTTTTTATTTCAACAGTGTTTACTATCTTCATCAGCATGTAATTTTCAGTTTATAGATTTCACATATTTTAAGTTATTTGTTCCTTTTCCCAATTTATCAGTGCTATTTTCTTAATACTTTAGAATCATCTCATAGTGTTATATCTGAAATTGATGCTTGTTACTGATTGTGTGTGCTGTGATCTTGCTAAAGTCAGTTACTAGCAATGAGAACTCTTTGATAGCTGACCCTATGGCGATGCAGAGGCTGTTTTACATTTCCTATTCTGTATTAGCCAGGGTTCTCTAGAGAACAGACCCAGTAGGGCACTTAGTCACATAAATACAGTCAGACGATTTGACTGTGGATGTTGAGAAGCCTCACAACAGGTTGTCCACAAGTAGGAGACCCTAGGACTCTGGCAATGACACTCAGTCCAATGTCAAAGCTTCTGAATCAAGGAAACAGACTATAACCCTTAGCCTAAGGCCAGAGGCTTGGAGTTCTCTGATGTCCCAGGCAGGAGAGGACTGAGAAAGGGGGACTTCACCTTCACATTTTGTGTCTGGGAATCCAGCAGATTGGATGGTGCCTAACCACACTGAGAATAGACCTTCCCGCTTACTCCACTGACTTGTGGGCTGCTCCCCTTAACAGATGCACCTGGTCCTCTAGGCATCCTTCATCCAGTCCATCAATGCCTGAAATGACCTCTCCACACTCCAGTCTGATGGCTCATCTCCTTCCCCCCCCCCTTTTTTCTTCTGTAACTGGGAACTCCAGGACACTGGCAGATGAAGGCGTGAAGGGCACACATTCTTGCCCTGCCCCTGACTTTAAAGCTGAAGAATACTATTTGCTCCAAATCGCATGGTGATTCCCATTGCTGGATAGTAAAATCCACTGCCATCCATGAGAGGGTGTTGTATTTTGTCCTTCTCTTACAACTTCTGCATAGGTCATCTACATATGGAAGTCAGGCTCTCAAAAAAACCAAAAAACCAAAAACACAGATACCAAATATTGATGTATCGCAGCAGGCAGTGGACAGAGCTAAAGGCCTGGAGTCCAGCCGCATCCTACAGTTTGTTTGTTTTTCAGCTTCTAAAGTTTGAGCAATGGTGTTGAATTCTGTCTGTGTGAGCATCCTTGGGTGGTCTCGGGGTCCTTGTCTACTGAAGGGAAGCTTCTATTGCAGTTTAAGCATACTTAGAGACGCAGCTATTGCAGACAGCCCTTAGGTCATTCTTCAGTAAATGGGCTCTTGCAGTTTAACAAGACAGCTGTGTCAGTCATGTCTTAGGACATCTTTGCAAACATGCTTTGCAAACCATTGCTTTCTTGAGATAAGAGGGAAGGGATTCAACTGAAACAGGCAGGAGGACAAGCAGAGCTCAGGAAAATTTTAACACATCTTAATCCTATAGCTCTACTTAATCCTGTGGCTCTCAGGAAGAAAGGAGAAAGCCTTCCTAGAGCAGGGCAGCAGCAGAACAGAATACTAAACATTTAGTATGTGTTCTTTTCCTCTTTGATCTTATGCTCTCACTATCTGCAGTCTGATAGTGTGGTGCTGGAAATCAACGTCTCGGTGGTGAGCTGACCTGACACCCCCAAACTCTCCTCAGTCACAGCCCCTTGGGGATATTGTTTGTCCTAGGTATTAAAGCATTTTTCATTTCTGTGACTTCTTTTTTTGTGTTTTCAAGACAGTTTCACCGTGTAGCCTAGGCTGGCCTTTAGCTTTCAGTGAGCCTCCTGTCTCAGCCTTTTGACTGCTAGAAGTTACATGTATGAGCCACTACTCCTGGCAGGCAACTGTTCCCTGTCCCTAGTATTTCCACTAGACTAGTACTTCTCACTTCCATCTATCTGGTAGCTTACTTATATGGTCCTACTCATTGCCCTTCTTTGTTATGATAAATCTTTCCACCAAAAGCCACCCAAGCCCTACTGCCACATCGAGTTGGGGCCCCAAATAATACACAGAGACTTCTATTAGGTACAAATGCTGCTTGGCCAATAACTAGGATTCTCATCTGTTAGCTCAGTCTTCATTATCATAAATTATAAATTATCATAAATCTATATATTGTATAAGACTTATCGGACACCTTCCATTGGCTTCCTCATCCTAGATCACATA